CCCGACCCCCCCTGCGATGGACCATGCAGAGTTCCGGCGGCAGGGGAAGGAGATGGTGGATTTCATCGCAGACTTCATGGAGGGGATACATGACAGACCTGTGTTTCCCAATGTCAAGCCGGGGTGGGTGTCAGTCAATCTGTCTGTCTGTCTGTCTGTCTGTCATGGAGGGCATACATGACAGACCTGTGTTTCCCAGCGTCAAGCCAGGGTGGGTGTCAGTCTGTCTGTCTGTCTGTCAGTCATGGAGGGCATACATGACAGACCCGTGTTTCCCAGCGTCAAGCCAGGGTGGGTGTCTGTCTGTCTGTCTGTCTGTCAGTCATGGAGGGGATCCAGGACAGAACTGTGTTTTCCAGCGTCAAGCCAGGGTGGGTGTCAGTCTGTCTGTCTGTCTGTCTGTCTGTCTGTCAGTCATGGAGGGGATCCAGGACAGACCCGTGTTTCCCAGTGTCAAGCCAGGGTGGGTGTCAATCAATCAATCAATCCATCCATCAATCAATCAATCCATCAATCAATCTGTCTATCAATCAATCAATCGAATCAATCTATTAATTGGCATCAAACCAGGGTATCCAGTCAATCTGTCTGTCAGTCAAGTATTCATCAGTCTTTGTTTTACTCATTCAGGCTTTCATTTGAACATTCCCTTTCAGGCAGGGTATTCTTCTAATCAACCATTGAATCATTAACTCATTCATTCATCAATTATTCTTTCAATTAAATTTTTAATTTCATTAAAAGCAATCAACATAGCATATCTAGTGCTCCAGAATTGCATTGATGTTACATTTTATGGATACAAGAAGAAACACTGTTATTACAATACTACATACAGGTACTGGTCCAGGAATAGAACATGAAAACACAAAAACACTGCATTTGAGTTAATAATTGTACAGTCAGATGGTATAGTGGTATGTTATCCACTGTGCATTCATGTTTCCACCCCAGGTACCTACGAGAGATGATACCAGACTGTGCTCCACAGGACCCTGAGAGCTGGGAGGCTGTACAGGCAGACATCGAGCGTGTCATCATGCCGGGGGTGGGTTTGGATAATCTGGTTGCTATTGTTGTTGTTGTTATTGTTCTTAACATAGATCTTTGTGTTCTTGTTAGTCATCCTCATGAAAGGTGAGACTTTATCTAATTACCCACTGCTAGTTTTCCTGCATGGATTTCACATTCACTATGATTCAGTGAAGCATGATACTAGTGTCATGTTTTTTTTAGTAACTATATATAAATGCTTGTACAGATCTTTAAAGCTTTGTCAAGTTCCTGACTTTTGTGTTATTCTTGCCTTCAATTTGTGATTGTGTTTTGAAAACAAAGTGGTCAAATATTGCATCAAAATCCGTGCCCTTATGTCTACCATATATGAGAACATGTTGCTATAGCAGGAGCATGTGATTTGTGATTATAGCTGATAGTGCTGTTTGAATGAGAGCTCATTATAATCATTTGAATGGTATTATCATGATAACACAGGGGGCCATTATGTCCCATTAGCAACATAGAAGGACCTTTGTTGGGCTGTCAGGGTTAATATTTGTGGTTTTAGCAATTACAAAACAATGTTTGTATATGGCATTAAAACTATGACCAACTTAGATGGCCAAACTATACAGAATCTAATATTACATCAATCATAAATTGTTTTAACATTTACATAATTATGGGTTCTATGGCTTGAATATGATCAACATGAATAAATGGATGTTATGTTCTAGTACTATCATGAAAGTTCATTTGTGTTGGTAGTTACATGTTTAGAGTAACTGTTACAAGCCTGACTGGGTCAGTCTACTGAGGATGACCAGAGTTGACTGTTGGATCAAAGGTTTTAACTCTAAACATGGTGTCCTATTGCAATATTTTTCTGCAAGCTGACTGAAACACTAAATCTCCCCCCTGCAGGTGACATTTTGGCACAGTCCACACTTCCATGCGTACTTCCCCACTGGGAACTCCTACCCAGCCATGCTGGGGGACATGCTGTCTGGGGCTATTGGCTGTATAGGCTTCTCTTGGGTACGTATAACCCTCACACTTATTAACCCTCACACTGCTACCCAGCCATGCTAGGGGACATGCTGTCTGGGGCTATTGGCTGTATAGGCTTCTCTTGGGTACGTATAACCCTCACACTTATTAACCCTCACACTGCTACCCAGCCACGCTAGCGGACATGTTGTCTGGGGCTATCGGCTGTATCGGCTTCTCTTGGGTACGTATAACCCTCACACTTATTAACCCTCACACTTATTAACCCTCACACTGCTACCCAGCCATGCTAGGGGACATGTTGTCTGGGGCTATCGGCTGTATCGGCTTCTCTTGGGTACGTATAACCCTCACACTTATTAACCCTCACACTTATTAACCTCACACTGCTACCCAGCCATGCTAGGGGACATGCTGTCTGGGGCTATCAGCTGTATAGGCTTCTCTTGGGTACGTATAACCCTCACACTTATTAACCCCCACACTTATTAACCCTCACACTGCTGAGTACAGCACTTATTAACCCTCACGAAGGTACAAACTACAAAATATCTAGAAAATCCTGTCAGCGTATCTGCTCGTAACGTACACCTTGAAATCGCCCTCTACGGACGTGACCTGAACTGCAGCCGACTCACCCGGAAAGCCAGTTGCGTAATACGGCGCATTTATACACGAACTGCAAAACCCTGACAATTCATAGACAGTCTCAAACCCCATACATTTCTACACCACACAGCACAATTTAATATAGCGTTACATCTGGCTAACGCTTTTATCAGGCTTTCTACCCAGCCTTCAAGAATATTTGCTGTACTACTTTCTATACCTGTGTCATAGACCCATGAATACTGTGTGCTGTGACATTGAATGTGCCCTCCCCCCCAGGCCTCCAGCCCTGCCTGTACAGAGTTGGAGACAGTTGTGCTGGACTGGCTGGGGAAGATGCTGCAGCTGCCAGAGTGCTTCCTGGCCGGAACATCAGGGGAGGGGGGCGGAGTCATACAGGTCAGTCTCAAGGTCATGCGGGTTACTCAAGATTTACTCCATGTGTTGAAGAGATGTTGATTGTTACACATTTCAGTGTAATAGGTTTGATGGGTAATATGAAATTTCAGCATGCTTCAATAGCCAATCAGCACCAAGGACATCATTCATACCAAATCATATTCCTGCTAGATAGCCAATCAGCACCAAGGACAACATTCAAACCAAATCATTTTCCTGCTAGATAACCAATCAGCACCAAGGACAGAGAGTTCTCAGAACAGGCTACAAAAATTCTGTCACATAGCCAATCAGCACCAAGAACATCATTCAAAACAGCCAATCATATTTCTTCTGGATAACCAATCAGCACCAAGTATAGTATTCAAACCAAATCATTATTCCTGCTGAATAGCCAATCAGCACCAAGGACCGACAGTGTTCAAACCAGGTACAAAAATTCTGTCAGCCAATCAGCACCCAGAACATCATTCAAAAGAGCCAATCATATTCCTTCCAGATAGCCAATCAGCACCAAGGACCGACAGTGTTCAAACCAGGCTACAAAAATTCTGTCAGCCAATCAGCCCCCACAGGACAGTCATTTAGTAAAATGGCAGCATTTAAGCCAGCCAATAGGATTCTCAGACTAGGTAGCAAATCAGCACCAAGGACAGTGCACCATCTGAAAATTTTTCTCATGTAACGTTATTGTCATAATCGTTGTTTAGTTGTTGTTGTTATTTGTCCCACACGGCCAAGCCACCTGGGTCGCCCTTCTTGCTGCCAGCTTCAAGGCTGGGCAGAAGTTAAAACTGTTGTTGTTTTGCTATTGTTGTTTGGAAACTTTTGTTCCAACACAAAAAAATTCTCTCACCTAGAGCTTTCGACCAGTCACTCTGGTCTTCCTCAGTAGACTGACCCAGTGAAGCTTGTCACATGGCTTCTTTGAAGTGCGACATTAACACTGGTGTCTGGTATCTGGTAGACGATGTCGGCCCCCGTCACGCTTAAGGGTCAGTCTACTGAGGAAGACCAGAGTGACTGGTCGAAAGCTCTAGGTGAGAGAATTTTTTTGTGTTGGAACAAAAGTTTTAACTTTAAACATGTAACTACCAACACAGATGACCTTTCATGATGTTATTATTATTGTTGTTGTTATTATTGTTCATAGGGTACAGCTAGTGAAGCAACCCTAGTAGCCCTGCTTGCCGCTCGCTCCAAAGCTGTGCAGAAATTTAAAACTGAATATCCGGACATGTCTGATCATGACATCATGAGCAAACTCATCATGTACACTTCTGATCAGGTGAAGACAAGTTTGCTTTTTCCTGTAAATAATTTCATCAGGTTGGTAAACGAATGAATAGCAAAGTTCTTTTCTCACAACTATTTATTTTTCACGAGCTGACGTTTCGATGACCGTCTGTCATCTTTGTCAGGGCAATTCTGACTGGTTTGCTGTGCACCAAGTAACATCTAGTGTCAGTGTACAGCAAACCAGTCAGAATTGCCCTGATGAAGATGACAGACGGTCATCGAAACGTCGGCTCGGGAAAAAAAAATGGTTGTGATCAAAGAACTTTGCTATTCAAGTTTGCTTTTTTCTTGATGTCCTGGCATTTATTTAGTAATTCTTATAACATTATACGAACCATAATTTGAAAACCAAAATGCACAGTTAAGCAGCTACTCATTTAAGCAGCTATCTTTTTCAGTGTGTTTGATTAATTTTTTTAAACAATTTCCTGAATTGCAAAGTAAAAGATTAGTAGATATCTGACAAATTTTTGCATGTAAAATGCTCAAAGTTGTCACCTTCTGAATATTTCACTAAAGAAAATAGATTACTCTTACTATGTTGCATAAACATCAGCATGATAGTAAAACATATTCCCTAGAGAATTGATGAATTCCATACCCCCCTCCCAGGCCCATTCCTCCGTAGAGCGGGCGGCCATGTTGGGTGCTGTCAGGTGCAGGAAGTTACAGAGCAGCGAGGACCTCGCGCTGACCGGTCCGGTACTGCAGGCGGCCCTACAGGAGGACAGAGCTCAGGGACTGATGCCTTTCTTTGTGAGCTGGGAAATGATTTTCTAGGACAAATAACTTGATTTTGTGGTTCTCTGATTAAAAAAGATGCTGACCGTAATGTAACCCAAACACTAAGTGGTTCATATGAGCCTTGTTTTGAGGTGAAAAATTGAAGTAAATAAAAGGAAAAAAAGAATGAATTTATATTTTATAGTCACACATCTAACCCATTCCCCTGATCTTATGTACCTGTGGTTGCTAGGTGGTTGCTACGCTGGGGACCACGCCCTCCTGTGCCTTCGACAACTTACAGGAGCTCGGACCCGTCTGTAAGTACTGGCACTTCTCTGGCTGTGTTTTATATTATTTAAGAGTAAGGATGGTAACAAATGCAGCTTTTTTTCTATTACTGAAAGGAAACCTAAAATAGATTGAAACCAAGAAATGGCTGGCTTTTTCTAAAACATACATTATCCTGTGTTGGAGGGGTTTGTTGTAACTGGTAGCACCTAACACTAGCATCAGCCCCACCCTTGACTGTACATGTAATACTGTGAACTAACCGCGGAGTCACCCCATCATGTCTTGTATATATGTAAATATTACTAACGCACTAATGCACTTGTCCTGTCTTTAGCACACACAAAATCAGTTGTCTTATGTTCCTTTCTCAGTCATCCTTGTTTTTCCCCTTGTTTTTCATGTACCGGGCACAATTGTTACTAACAATATTGCGTAACGACTGCCAATAATACTACTCTGTAGTGCTGGGCAGTAACGAAGAAGAAGAAGAACCGTTGTGTGACCTTTGCCCCAGGTCGTGCGGAGGTCATGTGGCTGCACGTTGATGCGGCGTACGCCGGCAGTGCCTTCATCTGTCCCGAGTACCGACCCCTGCTGGACGGGGTCGAGGTCAGTGTCATGTTTCTGGTCCTTAGACATCCATAAGTAATCTTCTTGATAAGGTTTTCCTTCATATGTATAAATTTCCTCCCTCAGACAGGTCATTTCCCTGGTTCTTAGACATTTATAAGTAATCTTATTGATGAAGTTTTTATCATAAGATAAAAATATTTCTTTACTTTCCCCAGTTTGCAGATTCGTTCAACTTTAACCCCCACAAGTGGATGAGGGTGAACTTTGACTGCTCAGCCATGTGGTGAGTGACATCAGTCCTAACCCCTAACCTTTAAACTCTAACCCCAACTTGAACTCTGACACGATTATTCACCCCTAACCTTCAACCTCTAACTCCATGTGAACTTTGACTGCTCAGCCACGTGGTGAGTCATGAACTCTGACCCCTATCCTTAACCTTTTCACCTCTAACCCCCTTTGAATTTTACCACCTGGTAGGTATGAGTATTAGATATTTGATTTGATTTATTGAAATTGCAACAGTGCAATACACGCGGAACAGAGGCAGCTGTTTCCGGTGTTGTGTCCCACACATAGAAACTCATTTTCACTTGAGTTTAGTGGGGAAAGTCGTGTAAAGTGCCTTTCCCAAGGGCACAAGATCAGTGGCATGTCAGGACTTGAACCCGGGACCTCTTGATTCCGAGTCGCGCACGCTGCTGTTGCGCCACACAACCCCACGAGTATTAGATAAACGGAAGATCAGTGCTGTTTCTCAGTAATACCTCAGAGTCTTACTTTGTCTATTGTCAACAGCCATATAAATGTCATTTTTTTGAAATAAAAAAAATCGCACTAGCTCTTATCCATGTTCTGTTTTTTGCAGGATTCGAAAGCGAGCAGACATTGTGGACGCCTTTAACTTGGACCCGCTCTACCTCAAACACGACAACCAAGGTCAGGCTGGTTCTGTTTGTGTCTTCTGACTTCTGAATGATCATTTTTATACAACAGTTGTATTATAAGACAGTAAACCAGTGCAAAACTGACAGCTCCTATATAACTGGTGTATCTAACCCAGATGGTCAGGGATGTGTTACTCTCAAGTGTTGGGATTCTGCGATTTTATGGTCCTTTTTTTTGTACACTTAGTAATCATATATATAATTTATTGTGTTTATTGACTTTGTTCATTTTACACAAAAACACATGGCAACTTCATTCGCTAATATGCAGATGCTGAATTGCGCTCTTTAGGCACATTACATAATAACAAATCATAAACATGTAAACACAATTACATGCGTCCTGGATGTGTACATATAGAGCTGGTGTAAATGGTTATTATACTGTACTTGTATCACAAGTGACACTTCCTCTTGTCTATAACTAGTGTCTCTAACCCGTGGTCTTCTCTCTCCTTGGTGCTGAAGGTTTGGTGACGGATTATCGGGTGAGCACAGCTAAACTATCATGAGTTCCTTTCCCTTAACCCGTACATCTTTAGTCTAACTGTTTCCTCTGCCTTTCTGCTGTGCAAGTAGGCAATTGTTGAAACTAGCAAATGCATAATGTTTACCTTCACGTGGTCTGTCCCAAAAAACTACTGCTCTGTTTATTCTTAGTCAAACACATTCGTATACAATGTATATGGTGAGCAGACACTCTAGCTCTGTCCTGCTACAGAATGTAACCCAATGCTGCTACAGTACTAGTTGCCATGGTGACAGACGTCTGGTTCAGGTCATTGACTTCATTTGTTTGGAGAACAAGAAGAAACTGAGCAAAAACAATATTTTTCTTCAGCAAAGGTAAATGCAATAAAAGTGATAAGTCAGGAATGTGACTGGACTTTGTTGTACTGTCTTGTTTTTCATACTTTGCCTTGAATGTCCGTGTGACCTTGATGTTGACCTTTGACTTTGCAGCACTGGCAGATCCCGCTGGGTCGCCGGTTCCGCTCGCTCAAACTCTGGTTCGTGTTACGCATGTTCGGGGTCAAAGGTCTCCAGGAGCAGATTAGGAAGGTGAGACGTAAGACAACATCTACAAGATCCACCAAAAACCAGTTACTCGAGCAACCGGACATGATTTTGGAAACAGTCAGACATTTCAGGTAGCATCCACTACCTTTCGTCAGTGACACTGGAGAGTTGTCAGAAAGGCAGGTTTATAAGCACAAACCTTTGAATGATATGTGAATGAGAGGAAACAATTTGACACAGATAGTAACCTATAAAGACCTTGAACTTTACAGTACCTTGTAGTCCCTTGTACCAAGATGTTCACATTCCTTTCTCTGGTCCTCCCCTCAGCAAGTCGGGCTGGCTAAGGAGTTCGAGGTTCTTGTAAGGAGCGACGATCGGTTTGAGGTGACGGCTAAGGTGGTCATGGGGCTGGTCTGCTTCCGACTTAAGGTGGGCGTCTTGGAGAAACTTTCCTTAAGACATTCAGGATTCTGTAAGATTTTCAAGTATCTCAGTGTATGATGTTTTCTTGTTGAAAGCCTGAAACTTGCCAACCATGTCAGCATAATTAGTGACCAATCCCTTCCAATCATACTCTTGCGAGAGTTACGGCTACAGACACGTGACCTTATTCATATTATTCAGGTTTATTAATCATCCTGATGAAGGCGACAGTGGTCGTTGAAAATTTGATCCCTGTGTAACCTTGTGTTGGAAGTTCAACATTTTACGATGAACTTTCATTGGAATAGCTTTCTACTTTGATCACCTGCAGGGTTCTAACGAGCTTAACGAGCAGCTACTTAAGCAGGTTAACGAGGGAAAGAAGATCCACCTGGTGCCGTCGCAGGTGAGAGGGACGTACTTCCTGCGGTTTGCCGTCTGTGCCGCCACGACCGAGTCTGGAGACGTGACCTACGCCTGGGACATCATCAGCCAGCTGGCCGGAGAGGTTTTAGAGGGACAAAACAGCCAGAACATGGCTGAGTAGATACCTCTTCTGTCAGTATTTACCAAAACTAGAGAATGATGTACAAGGAAGGATTAAATTCACCAGAGCTAACCGAAGGTCCCGTATCAAAATATATTAGAGAGAGATTCTACTGTGGCCATGTTAGAAATCATTTCACAAATTTGATACTAGTTCTAAAGGAATAAAGGAATCAAACTCAGGTATACCTGAAGACTTTTAATTTTATCTTCAGTAAAATGTTTTAATTTAATCTATGTTCAGGGATATGTTTTAATTTATATCCAGTGAAATGTTTTAATTCATTTTTTTGTTTAGTGATATGTTTTAATTTAATCTATGTTCAGTGATATGTTTAATTCATCTTCAGTAAAATGTTTTAATTTATGTTCAGTCATATGTATTTAATTCATGTTCAGTGATAGTTTTTAATTTATGTTCAGTGACATGTTTTAATTTATGTTCAGTGAAATGTTTTAATCTATGTTCAGTGTTATTCTTCAATTTATGTTCATAGATATGTTTTGATTTAGGTTCAGTTATGCACATGTTTCTGTTATGCACAGGGTAACTTGAGCAGCCATGGAAGTAAATACTTTAAGGCTAGGATTTATGTCTTAACAATATGATGTGTGCCAAATTAGTAAGACATGAGGCAGTCAAGCAGGTTACAAGTTACTTTGCAGGTGGAATCTTAACTTAATGAAGACAGTAATAAATTGTAATGATGTTGAATTTTTAAACAGATGAACTGTGTTTATTTATGTAATAAGATCAAAATGTATCAAATCTTCCACTTGAGTGATTTTCAAGAAAGTTGCAGTATTTATGTTTGTCACAATGAGATTGATACATGTATACATGTATGGTATCAAATAATTTTTCAGTATTAAAAAATAAATGTAACAAATTATGCAGTGTGTCACAATGTTGCTGAGATGTGAATGTAACAAATTGTGCAGCTAATTTGTAACAAAGTGATCATGTTGTTAACTATTAAATCTATGATATTAGACATGATTCTGAGATTATACAATGTAGTTCTGCTGTGATGATGTATCAATGCGTGTACGTATTAGTTCAAAATGAGTTTATTTTATTTGATGCTAATTTACATTTTTGTATGTTTGTAACTGTTGTCATTTAAGCCTGATCATTGCAATTGTCACTTGTTGATTTTACGGATATTCCTTCATATAGTGTTAACAGAAATAAAATCTGAAGAAACATGATGAAACTAAGCAAGGAAAAGAAATAAAGTCTGAAATTCCTGTGTTTGGTACATGTGTTAACCTTTTTCTAATTTGTTGTGCTATTACTATTGATAAACTAAGTGTATTTACATTTTTACACAGTAGTTCTTGTTTTGTAGCAATGCTATAAGATTGTACATGTGGCAACATGCTGCAACACCGAGTGGCGTTCATGTGTCAAAAGTCAATGTCCTACAACATACAGTAAAACCTGTACTAGTAACTATTTCTGCACTTCAACATGGCGATCACCTGTTGGAGGTCCAACATTAGATTCTCATATTGACCCAAGCATGATATCATGAACCTGTCTATAGCGACCACCTGTGTACTGCGACCATTCTCTCCAAGTGCCTTGAGTGAGCTACACATTTTAGACACTCAGGTTTGAGTAGCCTCCGTAGCAGGCTTATAGAACTGGGGGTTTGGTGGTCTTCGGCTGTTTTCTGATTAGCCCAGTTCTAAACGGGGGTAATTCAACCAGGCCGACTATGTTGTCTATATGCAATCAGAAAATAGCACAAAAGCTCCCAAAGACCCTGAAGAACCCCAAAACCCCAGGTTTTTGGCATGCTATGGAGGCTAAGGTTTGACTGCGTTGAAGATTTCACACAACTGAGTTGCTGTCCAGCATAATTTGACTTCTGGAAATTCCTCTTTTCTATTGCTGTGCCTACACTTGTTTGGAGACTCTACCTGATTGTGTGTGTTACTCATCTCACTTGGACAGTGGATGTGGTCTCACCCGTGCAACTGCGCCCCCTATTGTTTGCTCGCAGTAGTGCATGATGTTCACGAGATGATTAGAATGCCTATTGCCAGTGTGCAATAGATGTTGAGAAACTCTAGAAGCTTTTTGTCCCATGGGTCATCGTTGGGCTGCACTGCGCTTTCTCAGCTGGTCTACCTTTTTAGGTTTTAGATGATGCAATGTTCAGAAAACTCCCAAACCTAAACAAGGCTAGCCTTTGTCAAACTATACGAGACAGACTGAGTCAAGTCGTTGCATCTCGAATATTTTCGAACCCCGTGTTTCCGTATCATCGCTGCAGCAGAGACATCGTCCCGAGAGCCAGCCCCGTTACCATGACAACGGACGACATTGCAGACGATATTTTGCAGTTCCTTGCTGAGGCGGGAGAGGGCGAAGGGATGACGTCACCGACCGACCTGCAGACGATTTTTCCGTCGTCAATCTGCAACCTGTACTGTCGTTGCGCTTGGCTGCCGTCTGCACTGACCAGGTCGTTCGCGTTCCTCTGCGGTGGATTGCAAGGGTTGACGGGACCGTCACATTTACAGTCGGCCATTTTAACCTTGACGTCCATGACGACGCCCTTGAAACAGCCCAGAAAGTACGGGAAGTCCGCAGTCACGTGATACCGGTACCTGCCGTCCACCAGGCGGCCATGACACTCGTCCAGGTCAGCGGAGGTCAAGGTCACGCCGTCCTCTGTCCGCGGACCATATATGGGGAACCCGTCAAAGGCGACGCCAACGATGTCAGACGGGACCTGAAACAGCGGGAACAGGTTAGCTACGTTTTTTCAAGAGCAGTTACGAGTGGTCTTTTCTAAACGAGATGTTATTATTCATCAAAACATCTAACAGTTACATAGTAGCGATTCAGGTCCTACGTTACTCGTTAGTATGGAGAAGTAGTATTATGACACCTGTTGGATTGCCCATTTCTTCTTGACTTTTTGAGGGGTGTTGTCTTCTCTGTACGCGAGAAACCGGCAAAGACGTGAGAAGTTTGAGAACGACTACAAGACTGTAACCGCCCCCCTCCCCCGAAGATTTCTGTTTTCTCCACAAGCCTAACTTCGTTCACTACAATCTCAGATCAATATCTGTGTTATTACGGTTGGTTAATAGTTTAGCTTTACTTGTAAAATCTTGTCAAAGGCTTATTGCAGGTAACACTCATTTTCATATTAAAACACAGTGTGTGTATTTCTTATCTCCCCTAATGTAGTCCTACGTTGTAGTGGTACTGTACTGACCTGTGATTGATTGAGCGGACAGTTGGGCGTGACGCGATAGTGGTACTGACCTGTGATTGGTTGAGCAGGGAGTTGGGCGTGACGCGATAGTGGCACTGACCTGTGATTGGTTAAGCAGACGGGCGTGACGTGGTAGTGGTGCTGACCTGTGATTGGTTGAGCAGACAGTTGGGTATGACGTATAGTGGTACTGACCTGTGATTGGTTGAGCAGAGAGTTTGGCGTGACGTGATAGTGGTACTGACCTGTGATTGGTTTAGCAGACAGTTTGGCGTGACGTAGGAGTGGTACTGACCTGTGATTGGTTGAGCAGACTGTTGGGCGTGGTACTGACCTGTGATTGGTTTAGCAGACAGTTGGGCGTGACGTAGGAGTGGTACTGACCTGTGATTGGTTGAGCAGACTGTTGGGCGTGGTACTGACCTGTGATTGGTTTAGCAGACAGTTGGGCGTCACGTGGTAGTGGTAGTTCCTCGGAGGGTCCACGTGACCGCTGCAGAGGTCAAACCCTCCCGCCTGGTACAGCAGACCCGCGTCATAGCAGCTGTCCGTGACGTAAGGGCTGTAGATCGGCACCCCGTTCACCGCCATGCCTGGGAAAATAGCACGTGAACAGCACGTGAACATAACGTAAATAGCACGTGAACAGCACTTGAACATGATGTTAACAGCACGTGAACATGTTGTGAACATAACAGCTATCCGTGACGTAAGGACTGTAGATCGGCACGCCGTTTACCGCCATGCCTGGGGAAAATATAGCACGTGAACAGAACGTGAACAGCACGTGAACATGATGTAAACAGCACATGAACAAAACGTGAACAGCACGTGAATCTGACGTAAACAGCACGTGAACCTGATTTAAACAGGTCGTAAAAACGACAATAACCGCATAGTTAGACTGCGCCAAGTACACAGAATCACCCTTATTCTTCTCTATATTATTTGTGTGTTGGGCTCTTTTACCCACAAATATTTGACGGCAGAAGCTGTCTCATACACTGTACCACCGACCAAAACGCACTTAAACCTGATATCAATAGGACATAAACAGTACGTCGCCCTGCTAGAACTGACCTACATGTATAGGCCCGTCTGGCAGGCAACGAGAACATTAGGTAATCCTGATTATAAAACAGTGCATAAACCTGACAATAACAGTACGTAAACCTGCAGTACATGTACCTATGGGTCCGTCCGGCAGGCAGCCCGGCCGGGGGGCGAAGGTAGCGTTTCTCCGGACGCGGTAGATGTGCGGCTGTTTCTGGGGAAGGGAGGGATGAAAACACAGTAAAACTTAACATGGTGAGTACTGATGGGAGTTGCAAAATCACAGTAGACAGGTATTGTATTCAGAACTGTGCCTAATGTATGTAGTTCTATATGTCTGAATGAGTTAGGGGTTGGATCAGGCACGGTTCCGGATAGTGTCCGCGTGTCCAAAAACGTGATTTTCTCATGCTCCAGGCACGCAGATGGTTCTGGATACTCTTAGACTATCCAGACCTGTGTCAGAGCATGGTTCCGGATAAAGCACGGTTCTGGATACAAGTGGACTATCCAGAACCGTACCTAAGCATAGTTCCGGATAAAGCACGGCTCTGGATATGAGTGGACTATCCAGAACCGTGCCTAAGCATAGTCCTGGATAAAGCACGGTTCTGGATACGTGTGAACTATCCAGAACCGTGCCTAGGCATAGTTCCGAATAAAGCACGGTTCTGGATATGAGTGGACTATCCAGAACCGTGCTTGGTTATGATGTTGGATAAAGCACGGTTCTGGATACAATAGAACTCACTGGTTCCTCTCGCTAGTCCTTGATTATTCCCGCTCTCCCCTGATGAATGTCCCGGTTTCCCCGTCGCCATTATGGAGTCGTTATTTCACCGTTAAACGCCCCGTGTTCTACCCGTTATTAACGCTCACCGGGACCGACCGTTTAGCGCAGGAGGTCGGCTCTAAAGTTTGGTACAACAACTCATTGGAAATCCAAATGCGAGTACTGGATAAATTATGGAGATAATTTCCGGACGTTTCGAGTGACATCCACCACTCTTCTTCAGCGTCACTAATGAACTAACGTAACCCATTCAGGCATAGCTTTGCCGCATTATAAACGCTCGCTGAGACGAACCCTTTAAAGCAGGACGGCTATAGTAAAGCGCAAGACGTCTGTAGTTACGTCGCTTATCTGAAATCCGCAGCCGCAGAATTTGGGGCCGGCACGAAAGGAGAATGATCGGTTTCATAAAACAAGAATGGACTAGAAAGGTAACATTTGCAAAGCAAAATTAATGTATAATGGTCTGCTCTGTTAATTCTTACTCAAATACATTCATATATATGGTCAGACAGGGACATAAATCCATCCTGCTATGAAATTGCAACATTATGTAACCCAACAACAGTTACCATGCAGAGGGACGTCAACAAATCAGGTCATTGGCCAGATCAGAGGTCAGTGTTTGGAACGGAAGAAGAGGAAACGTAGCAAAAACAATGTTTCCCTTCGGTAAACATAACAATCTTCAACAGAAACGAGAATAGCCATTAGTTTGGTCATCAACTGCAATTAATTAATTAATTTTGATCACTATAACTGTACATCAATGGTGATTGGTTAGCTCCATGTAATCAGATGGATCGTTAATTATGATTGGTTGATCATCATTGTACATTAATTCTGGTTATCAACAGGTAATCAGATATGAATCATTAATTGTGATTGGTTGACCATGGATCATCTTTGTACATTAATTCTGATTGGCTAGCTACAGATAATCATATGACTCATTAATTGTGATTGGTTGATCATGGATCATCACATTGTGTGTATGGATCATGAAGCGTGATTGGATGGTTCGGGCCATTGAATGAACCATCAATCGTGATTGGTTGGTGATAAATAATGGCACACAACACACGCGGAATATGAGAAAATGGGTGAAACATTGCATTATAAAACATAGAGTGCTTAGCCGACCCTGTACTGAGTTTGTTCCTGTGAACACGTAGTCACTACTACAATCATATATGTGGCCTCCTCCGGTCAATATTGACCATGACGAAATCCTAATAGATATCAGCCCTACAGCTTTGGCTGAACAGTCCAATACGAGAATTTTCCACACAGGACACATCTGTAACCTGACTCAGGTCGGTACAGCATCGGTGATGTTATATGGCGATGGGACTTCACAATGTTTAAGGTTAAAGGTGTTACACAGCTCGATACCAGACGGTCGGGCGCAATTTTCAGCGTCGGAGCAGGTCAAAGGCGTTGGCGGCTGGCGGGTCGCTTCTGGCCAGCAGATGCTGTAATGAGCTTGTTACCTCCGTAGACGGAGGCTTTGTTTTCGGTGTGTTTGTTTGTTTCCATGTGTGTCCGTCGTTGAGTACAGTATTTATTTATTTATTCAGATTGCAACATAACAGTACAAAGTGTGCACTAGGCAGCAAATATGCTGACAGCGTGCACACCCAACACATACCTGGACAATTATATTATAACATATAGAAAAACAACAATAAATAGTTAAAACAAGATATATACAGAAATAACATTATCTTAATAAATTACACCTGCAATTAAAATCAATTTTAGAACTGTACAGCAGTTGAATGTTTAGTGTGGCTCAGCTAGAAGAGACACAGAATCTTTTTGATTGGGCAATGAACGTATGGAGATGGTCCATAGTCTATACAAGTAGCCAGGGCAGGGCAGAGGTTGGATCCTGTTCGATATCAGCCGGTCGTTTCTAATCTACAGCCGAGCGGGTGGAAAGTAGACGCGAGTGAAAAGGCGAAGGCGGCGGCTGGGTTATTTATATCCAGGCTATCGGCGGGTTACGTCTGCATGTCGATAGGAACAGGCTGTACACAGTGGAAAAGCAAACTGATGCTTGTAGATATACGCTTTTTCGGAGGAGCGTCGTGGCATTAAAAATTGCCGGGGGAAAGTTCGATATTGAACTTATTAAAAGTTTTTTTGACATTCTTTTGATTATATCTGCCGTCTGTCTTGTTATGGAGCGAGATCAGCAGCGGTGATAGACATTGGGTGGATCTCATGACAATAAAGTCAGACTCAACATGTCGTCAGCTTCTCTGGTACCAACTCCCCAATTCATCAAAAACTGTCCGATAGAACGATCGACACAAGGCCCCGAGGACAACATTGGAAGGACACGAGAGACTACAGGGTGATTTTTCTGACGTTACACAATCAATTGTCACCAGCAACAGCCCGGGATTCGAACTCCAAACCTAGCTAACATGCCAGGGGAGTTGATCCGCCATTTTGCCGAACCCGGTAGAGGCAACCCAAGGACACCGTACTTTTGAAGGACACCCATTGTTCCCGGGTGATGTTCGCCGCGCCGTGATCCGTGTAATTTCCGTTCCTAGAGAGACGACAGATCCTACCCGCTCCCGCCGGCCGCGGAAATAGAGGTCGTACCTGTTGTCGGGAGCCGGTCGATATCCAGGCGGGGGTAAATAATGAGGACGGATGGTGATACGATAGCGCTACGATGGCGCTACAATTGGGCCACGATGGCGCAACGATAGCTTTACAGAGAGGTTCATTGAAAATCCATGCCCGAAGGCTAATTGTAAGTTACAAACATAAAACAACATTGAAACGGAGTATAAATTAACTTGAAAATGTACATAATGAAATCTAATTGTCTAAAACTATTGCTATGTCTAAAAATGTTTGAAGGGTTTGACAATATATATATATATATATATATATATATATATAGAGAGAGAGAGAGAGAGACAGAGAGAGAGAGACAGAGAGAGACAGAGAGAGAGAGAGAGACAGAGAGAGACAAAGACAGAGAGAGAGAGAGCTAAGGTTGACTCCCTAGGCCTCTAAGACCAATTCATCGAAGCTTCAGGCAAACGTACTATTTTCTTGTCACTTCTTTGTTTTTTTGGTCACCTCAGCCGATTTTCGATCTGCAGGACTTTGTTGTGTTTTGCTCCAGTTCGCAGGTCGATAAACCATGTAAGTGGGAGTTAAAGTTGATGGATGTGGGAAATATTGACTCCTGCGGGAACACTCAATCATGTCCTCCAAGTCAGGCAGATACATGATCCTGCCAAATACATGATCCTGCCAAATACATAACCCCGACACCACTATCGCAGAGTGGAACTCACTGTCACT